CTCAGCTTGTATTGAGTGTTTATCTTTCACATCTTCATGTGTTAAATCAGCCCCAGAGCTGCAGGTGAATGGTTCGACTGTTAAAACCACTTCCATGTGACGTCGTAGCTTTAATAACAGAAGCCAAATGCTGTATGTTGAACTCGCTTTCTCGTTTAGGCCCGCAGGTCCAGAACATGACGGGACAGGTTTACAGTGGCGGGCAGAGGCTGCGCCACGATGCAGAAACTCCGGTTTTCCTCCGTGTTATGACAGCGGACCGATCGCTGCGTTCAGGACAAGAAATAGAAGATCTCTCACTGTCCTTGTTTGGTGTGCAGACATGAGAAACCCTCTTTATATATTTTCTTTAAGCCTAATTTATTTTCCTTTAATATTAAACTCACTAATCTTATATAAAAACTACAAGAATTCAGCTCTGAGTTATGTTTTTATTCCTGATTTCATCAGGTTTTAAGCCTCTCATTTAAAAACTGCGTCACCTGCTTCTGTTTTGATTTTCTTGGATGAATCTTCGTTGTTGATTTGGTGACAGTATGATGCGGGTGCGGCCGGTCTGTTCTGCAGCTCTTACCAACAGTAATTTCATGCATCGAGACCTCAGAGCAGATAAACGAGCAGGTGTGAAGTTTAAAAGTTAAACTGCTGCTTACTGCTCCCAGGATCGTCCGTGTCTCCTCCTTCCTCTTCGTCCGAATCTGTGGAGTGCTCCGTTTGTTTTATCGTTTCCGTTACAGGCAGCGCCGCTTTCCCATTGGTCCCATTCACTTCCTGCGGTTTGGGCACCTGCTCTGGAACCAGCAGGGATGAGCGGTTCACCTGGACCACAGAAATAAGGAGAGTGTAAACGCACCGCGAGAGCCTGTGGCTGAAAAGGTCATCGCAGGTAATTACATCCACCCAGAACTTATTCTACGTTTATACATGAGAAAGGTTTTGAGTTTTTTCCCCACTTTAGGAACAAAATTGTAATATTTGACGTCTCTAACATGTGAAAGAAAAGGTGATGAACTGTAAAACCCAGATTAAACTGTCAGCTAAGCATCAATTTATTTAGGAAATGCTTAAATAAGCCTGAGGAGATTAAACACCAACTTATTTCAGAATAAAAGCATCAAAACCTAAAATTCTAACTTCCTTTTTTCTTACAGGAAACGGTTGGAGCCCCTCCTGGATGACAAATCCCTCCACCAGGTGGGTGAGAACCTGCCGTCCCTCGGGCCACGGCCTGGGCTCCCAGGGGCTGCTCAGTGATTGGCCGAAGCTCTCTGACTCGTCCTCCAATTGTCCGAGAGGCTCCGCCTCAGTTTCCGTGGGCGGCTGCTGCTCGCCACCTGCTTTGTCCACCTTCGCCGGCTCGTGCTGCGGTAGGCTGAGGTCGGTCGGGAGGGCGGTCTGCGCCGGGAGGAGAGGAGGAGGGTTTTCTGCCGAAGGAGTGGTGATGGGTGAGGAGGGGGGAGACTGAGAGGAGAGGCTGGACAACGCTGTGAGGAGCAGAGAAAGAAAAAAGGGTTGACTGAAAATTAAAATGAATTGCTTTAAGTTACAGTGGAAAACAAAGCAGAACACTAATGTTCAGCAGTGAGCAGCAGGTACCCACGAGTCTTTATTGCACCACTGCCACTGCATTAATTACTCCTGGACCCCTTTAAGGGAGCACAGCTCGGACAGATGCTCCTTCAACCTGACAGCTTTACTGTAAAGCCTCATGTAAACACACAGAGCATTAAGTGTTGCTGAGTCTGAGCTGTTCACGGTACCTGACTGATTGTCGGACTGGGTCGACATGTTCTCACAGAAGTCCTCCTGGCTGACGGGTTGAAGGTCCTTCTGAGGCTCTGGCAGCCTCTGACTCTGGGCAGAGGCTTCGGGGACTGGAGCTGGCTCTGGTACCGGGACTGGTGCTGGAGTTTGGACTGGAAGTGGAGTTGAAACGAGACCCGTGATGGGTTTTGAGTCCACAGTGGAGTCTTTAACAGACTCGGGTCCTGGGAGAGGGTCCGTGTTGTGGTGCTGATGGGGAAGCTGTGCAGTCTGGTTCTCAGACTGGTCCATTGGAGTCTCTCCTTCCTCTTCCTCCTCCATCTTCTTGTCCTTGCCTTCCTCTCTCCTCTCTCTCTCACTTTGGCCTTCTTCTGTCACTTCCATTTGATCCTCCTCTCGGCTAACTTCCTGCACCTCCTGGCTGATTTGCTCCTCACTGGGCTCCTCCTCCTTCACCTTCTCTCTTTGGTCATCTTTCTCCACTCGCAGGTCTTTAGCAATGCTTTCCTCATCTTTGACTTCCTGTCTCACAGCTGCAGCTCTCTTTCTCTGCTCTTCAGCCTCCTTTACCTCCACCTTCTGGGTCAGATTTTGCGGCTCAGCTTGACTCTGCGGAGAGGCTGGACTCAGAAGGGACGGAGGTGAGGGCAGAGGAGAGGTGGTTTTTGGCAACAAGGGGTTTAAAGGAGGAGGAGGAGGAGGAGGAAGGACGTCTTCGGTGCTCAAAGTCCTCTTTGATTGGGCGGAAACCTCAGGCGACTCTGCAGCTGGAGGCGGCGGCTGCACCGAAGCATGCGTGTACGTTCCCGGCTGTGGCTGGCGACCCGAAGAGAGGGCGATGATCTGAAGCTGCTTCGCTGCAGATAACGAGCGCTCAAAATGCGGCACAGCTGACAGAGCGCTGGAGACAGATACCGGGCTGTGAGTTAACGGACAGTTCTTCAGTCCCGCCAGCGGCCGGCTGATGGAAGACGCCTGGCTGGAGGGAGCAGCAGCGATTGGTTGGAGGGCCGAGGTCTGTCGAGGTGACACCGCCCTGTGACCGTTAGGAGAGTGAAGTCTGGGTCTCAGAGGGACGGCTCGAACCGGAGAATAGAGAGCTGTGGGAGACGAGCGTGAAGAGGAAACCATTAAACAACGAGGGAGGGATATGACTAATAAATGATCTGATAACTGGCCACTCGTGCATGTTATGATTGTTTAATTCTCACGTGCTTCACTGTAATCTGCTGATGCGCAGGAGGCTCGAGGAGTCGGTGTTGGCTGAAAAACTTTCTCACATCTAAGATTTAAACATTTCCTTTCAGTGGCTCCAAAAAGTCTGAATTATTTAGATGATCAAATGCAAATTTTATTATGTTTTTGTTTTCTAATTTTCATCTCTCAAGGCTGGAAAATATATCAAGACCCATGATTCAATTTACTTTGTTCTGCAGCACAGTGCAGTTTTCTTCCAGTGATTTATGAGTTCAGTTGCAGACAACGACGGCAAACATGCTGAAAATTGACTTGTTCCAGTGCTCTGTGAGGGTAAACCGAAGCTCTGATGTCTCCGGGTAACAGAGGGGAATTATTTGGTTCATAAGTCACTGAAATGAAACCGTACACAGGACCACACCAGTGCAGCTAAAGAAGGCTCTGAACAGCTAAATGCAG